TGTGTCATGCATATATATAGAAGTCTAAATTCTATTTGTGAATTGTATGCATATGTATCAATCAATCAATGGAGTTGCTCATTCTTTCAAAAACATTTCAACAGTGCGGTGTGCAAAACTTTAAAAGGAGGGAGAAGTGCTTCAAATGCAGTGTGCCTAAATCAGGTAAAAAAATGAACACGGCTGCTGTTCTCCTCTTAAAAGAACACAAGCTCTCCCACATCATATAATAATACATAAATGGCATGGTGTCTTTCCTCAGAGGCTGAGCTCAAGTTGCCCCAGTTGCAGAGGGATTTGCCCGTTGGTCTTCAGAAGGAGGGAGCCCAGGGCTTGTTGCCATTGCCAGCACCCTACCACCCCTCTGGTCCATCTGTGAGTCCAGGACAGTCTACGCAACAGGCAGATGTTGCCAATGACAGTAAGTCTATCTGTTGACCTTTTCCCACCATGTTAATCTCTTCTTCTATTTAGAAAGACCTACTTTTGTTCAATGAAGACTATGTCAAGACACTACAGATGTCATTAAACACAAACTGTGACTATGTCAACATTAAAAAAAAAAAAAAGAATACACTAAAATGTAGTTTAAAAAATATAAACCTTTTTTCTGTTGTACGGTTTTCTTTGACTAAGATGAGACAAAAATGCTTTGACTTTTAATAATTTAAACAAATTTAACTCATTAACATTTATTTTTTATTTTTTAATAATTGTATATTTTATTAATGGATTAACCCAAACTATTAAATAATGTGTTAAAGAATGTAACATTCTCTCATCCTCTCCTGCACCAGCTCTGATACTAAGAAACCTCGGCCCTCATACCGCAGTGGAAACCATCTTGTCTGCTTTGGCTCCATTCGCCACTCTTGCCCCCTCCAATGTTCGCCTAATCAAGGACAAGCACACGCATCTCAACAGGGGCTTTGCCTTTCTACAGCTCTCTACCATCGTGGTGCGAAACATAACGAGGCAGACGCACACATGCATAAGTGCTAGACGGATGAATTTTTTAAATAATTGTTGTAATGTGTTCTGATGATTTTGAAATGAGCTTTATCCTCAACAGATGCGCGCGCGCACACACACTAACTCACAGGTCTGTTTGTTTGGTCAACAGGAAGCTTCTCAGCTGCTCCAGATCTTGCAGGCTCTCCATCCATCTCTCTCTATTGATGGGAAAGCAATTGTGGTGGAGTTTGCCAAAGGCTCCAAACGGTAAACACTTGCACACCCAAACTCTGCTTTAAAGAAACCACAATAGACGATTACACATTGCTGCTATTGCGCAAACAATAATATACTGCCAAATGTGTAACTGACAAGCTTTTAAATGTTGGTCACTAGAAACCCACTGAAACCCTCTTTGTGCCTCTTTTCTATGCCAGTGATGTGTTCTTGACGGATGGCAGCAGAGTGAGTGCTGCTACGGTGGCCAGCACAGCAATAGCTGCTGCACAGTGGGCGGTCACGCAGGTAACTTAAATGACTTGTCATTACAGCAAAGAAAACACGAGTGTGTAACATCTCTTTAATTAAATGTTGTATATTTATGATTGTGTGTTTTTCCTTTATTTAAAAATATTCTTTTTCACACTCAGACCGCTCAGAATGGATCCGGTGTAAACCAGAGTATCGATACATCCGTGTATCAGCAGGGGGCAGCAGTAACATACAGCCAGGAAGGCATCGAATACTCTGGGCTAGATGGCACAACTTATAAGGCCCAGGTAGATGGTGCAGGAGCAGCCCAGATGGGGGCATACACAGGAGGAGCAGCCCAAGGTAAATGTATAGAGCATATTACCCATATGATCTCTACAGCTGTTTACATTTGAATTGAGCTTGAGTCAACTTAAGCCACCTGTTTGTGTGTTGCAGCTGAGAGAGCGACGTCTGGATCAGCAGTTGTGCAGCAGCCTCGTACTCATACGAGTCTCATCGGCACAGCCGTTACACAGGTACAATATTAGTTTTTGTGTTCTCGCATTATTTGATGCCATTACTCGAGCTGAGCACTGAGCTCTGTCTCTTCACAGGTTGAGATTGTGGGAAAACCACAACCAGCTGCTGCCAGCCAACCTGCGACTCCAGGCACTGAACACGAGCTCCAGCAATACCGTAAGGCTTTGTGTTCCCATTGTGTTTGTCTGAATGTATGTGAACTACAATGCTGTCAAGCTAACCTTTTCATGATCAATTAAAGATTTTTAAATTTGTGACTGTTCTGTGTCTTTTTACTGTAGCTGTGCCAGATGTGTCCACATACCAGTATGACGAAAGCTCTGGCTACTATTACGAGCCTCTCACAGGCCTCTACTATGACCCTAACTCCCAGGTAAAGAGTGGCGAATGCACAGCAGTCAAAATGTCAAGCCAGCACTCTTTGAAATATCTTTCTGTACGTGTCCTCTTCCTCAGTGTTTTAAGTCTGGTTTTGTGTGCCCTTCCTCTTTGCAGTACTACTTCAACCCTCACACACAGCAGTACATGTACTGGGATGGAGAGAAGCACACCTACATTCCTGCTGCTGCTGCTGGCCAGTCTAACTCTGAAGGTGCTCCCACAGGCGCAGCCCCTTCAGACTCCCCGTTCGCTAACCTCGGCTGCAAGGAGAAGAAAGACAAACCCAAGAATAAAACTGCTCAACAGGTATTCTACAGGCTGAATACACACTCATGTACTGACAGATGTGCTTTTTTGTTGTTTGTTCATTTTCTGGAAATGTTAGACTTCACCAAGGTGGTATTTGTTGAAGGACTACTGAGTTGGATTGCATTTTGTTTCCGGTGACCTTTCAATTGTAATTCTTCCTCTGTTTGGTCCATATAAATGGCTGACTTGCATCTCTTGGGCTTTATACTAATAGATTGCAAAAGATATGGAGCGCTGGGCTAAGAGTCTCAACAGACACAAGGAGAACATGCGTTCTGTCTCCTCCTCCCCGGCTGTCGGCTCCACGGCGCTTCCACCTGGTTACACTCGGGCGCCTGGCCACAGTCGCCTAGATGACCGCCGAGAATCTGCCAGTGCTGACGCAGGCTATGCTGTTCTGGAGAAAAAGGTACATGACCCTTACACACAGACGTATGCTTAGCTGTAAACACAGGTGTATCTTCGGGGGCAGCAGGGAATCATAGTGAAGGAGGGAGAACGTCTATCAACCAGAGGACTCTGGCTTAGGCTCCTATGACCTCTCACCCCGCTTTAGTGATGAGATAATGTCTGAGTAAGATAAGGCCTTAGTGGCTTGGTAATCCCTCTGATTTGGCTTTTCTGTCCTGCAGGGTGCACTGTCTGAACGTCCTCAGATATTCCTGGACCAGATCCGACAAAGTGCAGAGGTAAGGACATGGTCAAAGTGATTACCTACTATCAAAATTCCGCTACTGTCCCATCTGTTCCTCAGTCTTTGATCTTGCATCCTTTTTCTGTAGCGTTCCCCGCCTCCTCTGCAGGGTCTGGTCCCAGCCTACAGTGGAGAAACTGACAGCGAAGAAGAAGGAGGCGACAAAGAAGAGAAGGAAGGAAGGATGACAGACTGGGTTAAACTGGCCTGTCTGCTGTGTAGGAGGCAGTTCCCCAGTAAGGAGGCCCTCATCAGGCACCAGCAGCTCTCTGAGCTACATAAGGTGGTTACAAAGACAGCTTGAATCTAACTTCACACCGTTGCAAATACAGCATAAATTAGAAGTGTCTGTTCACTCCTGGCAGGAAAGCCGACTTGTTTCCAGTGTATTTTGTTAAATTGTTGTCTTTACTATCTGTTAAGTACAGAAGTGTAGCCAAAAGACATTCCTCTGGGTACATATGTCTAAACTTGCAACTGTCTGTCCTCAGCAAAACTTGGAGCAGAGAAGAGTACAGCAGGAATCTTCAGGGAAAGAGGTTGGTCCAGCCTCAGATCTGACTGTGTATAGACTGATTCTGTGTGTAGGAGTAGTATTCATTTCATTGTCCTTTTTTAAAAAATTTTTAAATTTATTTTTTTTGCTTGCAGAAACTTCCGGATGGACCTGAGCCTCCTGATCCTAAGAGGAGGAAGTTTAACCCCATGTAAGCAGCATTGATGGAAAAAACAGACTCATGTTTATGTCTTATAGTTTGAGGTTAGGTGTGCAGAAGTGAATAATAAATAATAGTATTTACAAAATACTATTACCATGCCTTGTTCCTCTTGTACTGTTTAGACATTTCTTTATGGTGATAGTCCTGTTTTATAATTGTAAGACCTGTTGCTTCCTCCATACAGTGTGTGCTTACTTAGGTTTGTGTGTGTAATCAGTTATTTTATTTCTCTCTCTAGTGATGGGATCACAGGCAGTAGTCTTGGTGCCAGGATGCTGCAGGGAGGAGTGAAGAAAGGGCTTCTGTTGCGCAATATGCAAGTGGAATGAGCCCTCCCCCTGAAATCTCAACTTCCTGACCCGGGACAATGACAAAGCTTAGCACGCAACACTTCACCATTAACGTCGTATAGATAAACCTCTTAATTTTGGTTTGTAATTACAATTACCTCAACAGTGGTAATACACTCATGAACTGGTCCTGTAGCAGTGGATGTCGGGATATTGCACAGAATGCACTTTTTTTGCTTTCTTCCTGAATGATGCAGTTTTGTGTTCTCACGTGCTTCAGAGCTTGTGTGTGATAAACGAGCTTAATGTGGTTGGGGAAACATTTGGGATTTTCTAATATTACTGTCTATGCACCATTGATTTTTTTTTTTTTTTTTTTATAAATTCAATGCTATAATGCCTTGTCATTCAGTGAATGACTGATCTGAGCATGGACTGTATACATTTTAGAAGAGGTCTCATGAACTGGACAGCGTCGCACTAAAACTAGTGTGTACATGAAGTTTGTCATGTTGGAGATACGAATTCACAATGTAATACATCGTTATCTCTGGAGAAAGTTATTTTTTTATTTCTGTATTTTGTTTAAATGTGACTGCGTTTCGTCAAGCTCCTGTTAATTATTCAGAGTAACATTTTCATGATTATCTATGATGAATATCTTTTATGGGCGAGCCAGTAAAACAGTTGCTTATATTTCGACATTTTAAATTTCTAAAGCCGTGTTTTTACAAATCGGCGGTTAAAGAAAGAGGAATATAGTGCAAGATCTTGACCTACATACGTCTTGTACAGTTGGTGCACAGCACGTTGGTCGACCCCTGAATGAGTTTTCACATCAAATGCGTTTATAACACCTGTGCTCGTGTTGCGGCTGTTAAGTTTCCCTGGAAACGACAAACAGAGGTTCGTTGTCAGACATGAACTACATTTTGTTTTAGCGTTTACTGGTCCTTCTCCAGGTCACTTTCAGTAAACATTGGTCGTTATATTTCGGTATCTTCATGATGGTAAAGTTACAAAGAAGAACGCAACAGTCGCATAAAGTAGACTAGTTTACCAGACGTTAGCGACAGTAAACTTGGTGCAGTTCGACTTACGTTAGTTAACAGCTTGTCAATTAACAGCAGGTCTGCTGCTCTGCACCCGCTACTTTTATTTTTATTTTTTTGTGAAAACAAACTAAATTGAGCAGGATGTCTGAGGTGGATGAGGATGCAGTCTTGTCGGATGTAGAGGGAGAGGAAGAAGCGCACCAACAAGGAGCCGAAGAGGACGAGAAGGTAGAACTAGTTAACCCGAGAGATCACTTGTAACGTAGACAACGAGTTGGCATTAACGCTTTATAAGGGTACAAATCATATAATCTACTGAAGTGATGCTTAGCTTTGGCCATTACACCACGATTAAAGTGATCAAGTCACTATGACTATGCAATTATTCACACTTCATCAATTAAATATTTCAAAGTTGCACAATAATTGACATAAAAACATTGAAAAAAATAACTCATGCTCCACCCTCTCCAGGTTATAAAAGAAACCCATTTTGCCAGCTGAGCAAATACATGATTCTGAACTTTTGTGTCTGGAATCCAGCTAATTTGGTAGCATATCTAGTAATTAACATCCCTTAATTGGTGATCTAAGTGTGAACAAATCATATAAAGTCATAGTGACTTAATCATATGTCGATGAGAGCAACAGGAATTTATTATACAGCCTGCATTAAATCATTGGTAATTAGTTAAGCATTGCTGAAGTATATTATTTGTACCTTTTAATGCAAAAGTGTTACTGCAGTATTTGTAAGTATACTTCACAGAAACTTCTACAAGGGAGACCCAATTAATGGCTAAAGCGTTACATAGGTGGTTTTGAAGCTCCATCGTGTAGAGGGGCTTGTGTCTGAGCTGATGGGGTCCTGTTGTACATCTACTCCCCTGTGAGTTAGCACCACCACCAATTTTGACGGCATAATCCTGTGACGTCTTCCCTTCTAATAGGTACAGGTTTGCCATTTGACCCAAGAAACCATAGTTCGGGGGCTCTCGTTGCTGTGCCGAACAGGAAATGGACTTGGACATGCATTTGTCAAAGTGGACCTAAAAGACAAGTAAGATGGCAAAAATACATTCAAAGCCAAAGTGGCTGCCATCGGCCATTAATTGTAACAATCTCTTTGTACCGACTTTCCCTTTGACATCATTGTACCACTCAGCGGACTGAATGACATTGCTGCAATCAGCAGTTACACTCACCTACGTTTTGTGGACGTATCCAACAACCACCTTATTGATCTTTCTCCTCTGGCATCGCTCACCCAGCTGCTCTGGCTGAAGGCAAGGACCTCTCTTCTTTCTTTATTTAGAAAAAAGGACGTCTCTGGGGCTGTCTGTATCAGACACTCCAACTGATGGTGAATCTTGAATCTTGATTTCTTCCTCTGTAGGTTGACAATAATGCAGTGGAGTGCTTCGAAGGGCAACCTTTCACTCAGTTGACCTACTTGCAATGGCTGAGTATTGCAAGGAACCGGCTATCAGACCTGGACGGCCTGGTCGGGCCTGCCTTGGAGAGCCTCAATCTTACAGGTTGAGCTGTTGGTTTTATGTCAGGATAAGTGGTGTTCGAGTTCACTACGTGAATGACTGATGATGCATTAAGCTAATTCTGAATTTCCTAAAGTGAAGTCTGTCAAATGAAGAAGAGTTAACTATCACTATGAATTGAAATTAGAGAAATCACAATAACATCACAGGAGTTATCTATTTGATCAGATTTGATATAATGCCATGTGTTATCATTCAGTCTATATATAGGATATAACAAATTCTTATCAGCAATTAATCACATATGTTGTGCCTAACATGTTTGGAAAGCCCTTGACATGACATTTAGCAATGTCTCTGGCAGGTAACGCTATTCAGAGAGTGAATGGTCTTCAGAGTGGCTGTTTTGCCAACCTGGTAACTCTGGAGCTGAGGGGAAACCAATTGGATACCACTGATGGCATCAACCTTCCCAACCTGCGGGAATTATATCTGGTAATAAAAGCACTATTATTTGATTAATAGCACTAGCACACGGGATGAGGTTGATCACTGACCACCAGCCTTAATACCCATGTAATGACCCAGGGAACAGATTGCCTGTAAGTGTCCTTGCTCTTCGTTCAGGCCCAAAATGTTATCCAGCATTTGGAGGGTTTAGAGAAGTTAGAGCGCCTCACCACCCTTCACCTTCGAGACAACAAGCTAGATACTCTGGATGGCCTCAGCCCCAACATGAAGTGTCTCCAATACCTCAATGTCAGGTACACAGTTGACAGATCAGAGTCTTTCATCAATTCAGTAACACCTCAAATAAAATGATATATCCCAGATTATATATCCCACTTGCTTCTGTCTCTGTCTTTTAGAGGCAATGCAATCTTAGATGAGAATGCTGTGCAAGGCCTTGCGCTTGTGTCAAAAACTCTACGAGCTTTGGTCCTTTCTGAAAATCCTCTGGTGGAAATGACAGACTACAGGCTGAGTCTACTGATTCTCCTGCCACAGCTGGAGCGACTTGACAAAGATCTTGTCGAACCTGAGGAGAGGACTGAGGCCCGGGTTAAAAGCATGGTAAAGCTGATAAACATCTTATTTCTCTTTGTGGCATGCTCAGACATAAACTGCACTTTTGCTGGTTGTTTTAATGGCATGCATGTCCTTTCAGGTACTAAACGAAGAGGAATTTGAGCAATAAGATGTGCAATGATGGCCAAAATGTGGAAGTGTTTGACTTCCTTGAAAACACAGGCTTGGTGTGGTGACTGATTGTGAAAAGTAGATTAGGCTACATCTTGAAAGGGCATCTGTCTGATGCACTTTGTATCTGTAGAATGTGAATATACACGGTTTGCTTGTGTCATGTTCTTACACTATTACAGCCTATCTATTTTTCTAACAATAAAAATAATAAATTATATTTTTTTCGGTCGCATCCATTGACATCAACAAATGCAGATAATGTGTCAGTAACCAAGGAATAAGAAATGAGGGAGTATTTGATCTTGAGTTGCTGTCCTGTGTTTCACTGAGTAAGGATGAGAGGGCAAAATCCACCATTTCCGTGTTGGGCAGCCGGCCAGCTTTAGCTTTAAAGGAACAGCGACATGCATGTATTTGAAAAATCCCCATATGTATTCTGGACTATACTGATCTTCAAGCACATGCACACTGTCTCAAATAAAACAATTATTTCTGATGATTAGTTTAATTCTTAAGTTATCATTTATATTTCCATTTCTCACATCATACAAACGACCAGGAAGCCATCTCAATAAAAATATTGCCCCCCTTTTTTAAGTCTTCAAAGCAGTGGCTGCAAATTAAATGATACAAACGAAGTCACCACAGATCTATATCGTTAACGTGTGGAAATGACTTGTGAAAGTTGCACAGGGAACAAGGTCCTGCGCAACTGGTACCACGACGGTTCCTCCAATGATTGGCTGAGGTGGGCGTGGCTGTGGAGGAGACATAAGTCCCCCCTCCTCTCGACGCTTCTTCCTCCTCGGTTGTGCTTTGCGTCGGACAGTTTACCAGCGGCGTTGTGCAGCTTTGAACCTACGACCCCGGGACGCAGCGGTGTAATTGAAGTAACTGAACTACTCAAGCGGACGCAGTTTTCTAAAAAAAAAAAAAAAAATAGAATCCAGGAACCATGACTAGCTACCACAAACCCGATGAGAAAACTCTCCAGGGGCTGAAAGACATCGCCAATAAGCTCCGGATCAACTCCATCAAGGCGACATGCGCCTCTAACTCCGGGTAAACTATGCAAAGTAACGCTGGAGGGAGTTTAAAAAGCACACCGCTACGTACGAAGAAAATATACAATACTTTGTAATAGTAATGTGATAGTGACGTTATCTGAAGCACGTTTTTACCTGCGGGTCCCGTTGGCACGTGCTGGAGATTACCTTCACGCGGTGGAAACTCAGCCACAGTAGACGGCTAGCAAGTGATTAGCTAAGTGAACTGTTCCATAAACGTTTTAATAAGCTACTTTGTGAGGTATATTTGTCCATAGTGCATAGTCTATGCTAAGATTAGCATAAGCTAACAATTTGTGCGCCTGTGTCGACGTTACAGTCGCTGCAATGTGTCTGAGAAACCATGCATTCTAGTAAAGCAGTTGCTAGATTTAAACTTTGTCATTAGCACCGCGCTGCTTCTTCTAGCTAACAAGAAACCACATGACCATGCGGAACGGGGAATCTCATGGTCAGCTTGAAGCTCTAATTTAAAGTTGCAGATGCATGCTAAATTGCCAAATGCAGGAATGCACACCAGTTGCAATTGTTTGCAGGAAATTGGTGTCAAGTATGATTTTAAAAAAAGTGGCTATCAAAAGGGCACCTGTAGTATTGCTTCATCCTAAATGTCGGACTTCCTGACGTCTTCCTCTTCACATTCACTCTAGGTTGAATCAGAGTCCAAGCGGGAATAGTTTAAATGGCTTCCTTGTTGACGGGGTGTGATTTTGTAGTTTGTGTCATCTAGAGATTATTCATGCAGCCCTGTGTTGTCCTGCTACTCTCTCCATAGATCCGACTACACACCCACAATTAAAAAGTTTTGTGCGTTTAATCTTAATTAAATGCAATTAATGTGTAATGATGGTTTCCAGTCCACGGTTTCATTGTATTCACATTGCAAGATATCCAGCATTGTGATTTTTACTTGCGCAACTGCAACCTTTTGAAAAGCAAATGTTTGTTGGTAAACCTGTTTGTTACTTCCTTATGCCAACTGACAAGGACATGAATGGATTAGATCCTGGATGTCCTTACTGTGTTGTCTCCCTTTTAACAAAGGATGTTTTTGAGTTTTGACACCCAAAACTCAACACACGTTGTTTCTCATTATTTGACCTACATGGGACATTGCACTCGAGCATCTGATTTCATTCAGTTTATTTCCCAACAGGTTATCGCTCATCAAAAGGACAAGGGGTAAACGGAGCACTGGGTTCTTTTCTTATGAAATTTAACAGTGACCGTGGTGTTTGTTTGAATAAGATAACTGTGTTCCAGCATGGTTGAAATGATGCCATTTATAAATTAACCCACATAGGGAAGCAGAGATACTGTTGAGTAACCTGGTTTTTTTTTTTCCAACATGAATACTGCAATACTTTGACCACTATGCCGCAACTAACTGTTTCACAAGTTAACTTTTTTTTTTTTTTTTTTTTTATAAGTGTGTTGAAGTGTGGAAACATGACTGATGTAAATCATGTTGCAGATTAACAATCTATTGACGAGATTTATTTTCCTAATCCCAAAAGATTAAAGGCTCTCTTTAAAATATGAATTGCTTGCATTGTAATGCAAGCATTACATCTTTTGTCAATGTATCTTTGTTGATGCCTTTTTTAGGAATTACACGAGTTGTTCTTATTGTCAAACTAAAACTGAGAGGATTCCTGAATGTAGCAGCACATGCATGCATGTGCACGGTGTGTGTGGATTTTGTTTTCTTGTTGAGATACTGGAGTTTTTCTTGTGCCATGTGCTCACCAGATGTGTCTCCATTTTTCCCTCCCCCAGTCACCCCACATCATGCTGCAGTGCAGCGGAGCTCATGTCTGTGCTCTTCTTCAATACCATGCGCTACAAAGCAGAGGACCCTCGCAACCAATGCAACGACCGCTTTGTGCTCTCAAAGGTTTGCTTGCATTTTTTCGAGTGAGAATGTCCTTCAGTCGGCCAGCTCACCTGTGATGTGGCATCACCACCGTCATTAAAGACCCCCCCCGCCCCCTGCTGTCTCTAGGGTCATGCTGCACCTGTCCTGTATGCTGCATGGGCAGAGGTGGGTTTCGTGAAGGAGTCGGACCTGGTCAACCTGCGCAAGGTTGACTCTGACCTGGAGGGGCACCCCACACCAGTAAGTTCAAAATTCTGCGTTCCCCTTTCTGGTGTTCATGTCTCCTTGGAGAACACACTATCATGTTCAAGTCAGGCTGTCTATATCTTGTATAACATTTAGTTTTCCCTCTCTTCTATTCATCAGAAACTGGCCTTTGTTGATGTGGCTACTGGATCTCTGGGACAGGGTCTCGGGGCTGCCTGTGGGATGGCATACACTGGCAAACATTTTGACAAATCAGGGTGAGCATGTATACAAAATATGTATATTCATTAAGAGGTTCCAAGGCTTATATTAAACCTGCTTTTTATTTTCTTCAGCATTAGTCTGAATCCTGTTTATAGGACAACATGTTAGAATTAGATTACTTAAGGACATGGGCTCTCCATACTCCCAACGAGACTGTTTCTGTCATTCTTGAAATGTCATACATGTTGAGGGTAGTTCCTGTTAAATCATTTGAGTCAACAAGGGATTTGGTTAACAAAGAGCCGTTCTTAACAGTGCAATACCTTGACTTGCAGTCAGGTAACTGCTTTCTTTTAAACTGATGCCTGAAACACTGTAATCCATTTAATGGATGAACCTGTAGTAGTGAAGATGTAATTGTGTTAAATCACGCCCTGAATGGTGCCTGCAGTGAGGTCAAAAGGTCTTGCACTGCTGCAACTGAGTAATATTAAAAGTAGCAACGATTTATTTAGCTTTGTGGGGGAGTAGCTGTTGGTGATTCTAAGAACAATAATAACTCGATAATCTAAAAGTATAAATATATTATGAACTGCTGCTTCCACTGAAGTTATGTTTGTTTGTATTCGTGACAGACTTTAATCATGTAGTATTATGTGCTTCATTGTTTGGAGATCATCATTTCCTGTTTCTCCTTTCCTCATTGTGTTGTAGATACCGTGTGTACTGCATAATGGGAGATGGAGAGTGTTCAGAGGGCTCAGTGTGGGAGGCCATGGCCTTTGCCTCCTACTACAAGCTGGACAACTTGGTGGCCATCATGGATGTCAATCGGCTCGGTCAAAGTGAAGCTGCGCCCCTGAAGCACAACATGGAGACTTACCGCAAGCGCTGCGAAGCCTTTGGGTCAGTGCCAAATACACATTAACATAAACATAACCTTTAATGTCATATATTTGTATATAATTGGGACCTTCTGATATTCTTCAAAAGCTTCCTTGGGTTGAAATGTTACTTGTCCAACTCTCACACATTGGTGTTCCACATGTCTCCCCTCCTGTGGCCTCTTGTCTTTCTCTCTCTGCTCCCTTCTTCCAGGCGATGAGCGTAATGCTTAACGTGTTGGTTCAGAAGTCAATACAGACTGTGTTTTGGGTTAATATTTGCTGTAATGTGTCTGCATGCAACTGATGTTTTTGCAGGTGGAACACTTACGTTGTGGATGGACACGACGTGGAGGAGCTGTGCAAAGCTTTCTGGCAGGCTCAGCAGGTGAAGGACAAACCCACTTGCATTGTAGCCAAGACGTTAAAGGGCAAAGGACTCAAAAGTAAGTGTGGAGTTCATGTGGTGACTGTTTTATTTACTGAGCTATTTGATTCTCTGAATTTGATTCTGACTCATTTATCTCTTTGCTGTAGATATTGAAGATCTTGATAACTGGCATGGAAAGCCCATCCCCAAGGACAGGGTGGAGGACGTCCTGAAAGACCTGCGGGCTCTGATCCAGGTCCCCAACAAGACCCTGTGCCCTGAGCTGCCCAAAGAAGACACGGCACCCGCAGACCTCAGCACCATCTCTCTGCCTTCACCCCCAGCATACAAAAAGGGAGACAAGGTACCTTTTTACTTGTGCTCCTATTGAACGCCGCCTAATGTAATTGATTACATTTATAGGGACGCTTGAATCCTGTGTAGTAATGTATGGAAAGCTCATTTTAACAAGTCATGGAAAGTGTAGATTGTTTTGTTGTGTTAATCTGTAGTCACCCATTCCTTCCTGTCCTGTCAGATGGCAACACGGCGTGCATACGGCACTGCACTGGTCAAGCTGGGCCAAGCAAGCCAGAGAGTGGTG